AAATCTAACAACCCCACTGTGAGGCTGGGGAATAAAGGAAACTTATCATGGGAAGGATTTATCCAATGGTTTTTACATGTTTTAAATTACTTTGACTGGATTTTGACTTATGGAGACCTGGGTAGTCCCCAGAATGATGGGCCTCCCTTGTTCATGTAGGGGGGTGCCCTTTTTCTTGCAAAGCTCGGATTATGCCCTATAGTTACCCAAAACCTCTGCCCAAATGACCTGCAAGCCTAGACTTCAACTAGGGCTTATAGGCCTTAGGGTTTACGGTGCTTATCAAGTTTCGTCCTCCCCGTTGCCGCATACTTCGCCGTGTTCTCATGGACCTGGAGTCGTGTGCTTTGGTAGTCAAGACCCGGGGAGAATCGTGCACCGCAACGCCTGCAACCTTACCTAACCCCTATACAGGCGCCTACACATGTAAACTCCCACAGTATACCTACTTTCATTGGAACTCCACTAACAAAGATACCTCCTAATTCATTTGCCGCCTCAGTTCTCCCCCAACAACGCTTAGGCATGAAAGATCAACATCTTCAGCCTCTTCCCTACTACTCAGTGCCACGACTTAAGCGTGGGCTCAACGAAGGGTTCTGAATGCGCGTATATTCTTTGTTTCCAGCTTTCCAGATCCTTAGTAAGTCTTGGTTGGCCAGGGCCTAAGCAGATAGCCGCAACCAAAATGTGGTGGCGGAATGCGGCGGAACGATGGGGTAGCAAGAACGAGCCCGAGAGTAGCAGGGTGGTACCAATGCTAATGGTTGCAGTCTATACAGTCCAGTATGCCATGAAGAAACTCAGCTTCAATCTTAAATCGTCGGGAACTTAAGGAGGAACTGGTATTTCATACACCTCAAATATCTGCAACTCAATCACCTTCAAACGGGGCTGTGAGGAACCCTCTGAAAATCTCAAGAAAATCAAAATGGCACAGAAAACAACTGTCAGATCCCATAATTGGTTTGCGTACAAACCCAACTTGCTTCTATCACCCCAGAACACTGCACATACTTCTTAAACATAGGGACTCCCCAAAAAGGACCCGGACCAATGTCTTCATTCAACAAACGACAGCGAAAAGTAAGAAACCCAGCTATCTGTATGGGGCACGATCATACCTCCAGCTAGGATGCAAAGCCCGAGGCCCTGCACCCCAAGCTTTCAAACCCTGAACTCAACGGTTGACTGGCAACGTCCTGCATGACCCTAGCAAAGTACATAAGATGTTGACAGTTCCTTGCTTTAGGTATATCTTACCACTGCTTTGTAGGGAAATAGCCCCCATATAATTTATCCCTATATAGTATCAAATAGTATATTCCCTTATTCCCTATACTACAGTAAGCCCTAGTAAGACATGGGTTCATGCAGGATTTCGTCCATCAACACAAACTCTAATCCCTGACCTGTCCAAACCCCTGTTTCAGAGCACCCCGATAGAACCCATTCACTGCTAGGGGCTACGAGGGAATAAGGGAACAAATTATATTATACAGGGATTTTGTAGGGATTCTATTCCTTTACTCCCCACGAACCACCAATAAGTTATTGCAAGGGTACCGTTTCCTAGTTCCTTCGCCTCCTCCTCAG